CACCTTCCATGCTAGTACACGTGCAGGAGACAAGCACAGCCGCTCTCTCCTCCAGTCCTCTCTCCCTAGAAACTGAGACATGAAACACACTTTCATTTTGCTCTGAACCTTCAGGCAAAGGGAGAGTCTCTTGTGGAGTTGCAGAGTCTGTGCTGAGGGGCTGGCCAGTAAACCTAGGACCTAAGATTATGTAAAATGCATTTTTTCTTTGACTTTTCACCAGTGCAGAGTTTGACTGTCACCAGGGACACAGCTGCATCCCAACAGCCCTCTTCTCTCCCCTTCTCCTGTCAAGGGTGGCTCATCTGTGGAGGGAGACAGGGATGCTATTCATGAGAGCTGGGAGGGTGCAGCACGTAGGTGTGTAGGAGAAGGAGAGGCCGTGCACAGAGCCTGTGTAGACAGTACAAGAAGAGCGTAGGTGGGCAGAGGGGGGTGAGGGCGTGTAGCTGTCACAGAGCAAAATACGTGTCTGCAAAACTTCTACCAGCACCAGGCTACTGCTACTGCCCAGGCACCACCTGCCCAGCCTTTCCTGCTTCTGTTAAGGGAGGCTTTGAACCTGCAGCGACTCCCCCTCGCATTTCCCCTTGCCTACAATGCTGGTTGAACAGGAGCAGCTTTGGGGAGGCACGGGGACACACATAAAACTCACCTTGCCTCCCTCACCCACAGTGTGGGAAGGAATGGTGTTTTGAGGGCTGGAGCAACAGAATGCCTCTTCCCACCCTTCTGCTCTCCCCGTGGGACTTGTCAGGACCTCAGCGGCCCGAGAACACCTTTCTCTTCTCCTGAGCCGGGTTGTGGGAGGTGGACGGAGCTGCAGCAGGTGAGGGTGGTGCTGAAGGGACAGCTACAGTGGAGACGGGCCGGGGTGGGGGCAGGAGCACGGGGAGGGTCGGGAAGGGAGACGACCGCACAGGAGGCAGGAGGGAGATACGGAGAGGGAGGCAGAAGTCCGGAGTTGAAAAGCACAGGGACAAGGACAGGGACAGGGAAAGGCACGAGGCATTGGACGGAGAGAGACAGACACCGAGCAGGGGCAGAGGGACAGGAAAAGAGCAGGAAGGGAGAGGAAGAGGGAGAGGAAGAACAGGGCAGACTCCGGGCTGCACTCGGGCTCGGCTACCGTGAGGATCTCGGCGTGGCCGGCTGAAATAGCGGTTCCGCCGGCGCCAGACCCGCCGGTACCGGGCGGCACCCGCCGCGCCCGGGGACAAGGGGACTGCAAGGTGGCAGCGTGCAGCCCGCAGCGCCGCGGGGCCGAGGCGGCTCCGGGGCCGCCGGGCTCTGCAGACACCGCGCTGGACTCCCTGAGGCTTCCGGCGCGGTGTGCTCGGCGTGCCGGGGCACCCACACCGCCACCCGGCCCGCTGCCCGCCGCGTGTGCCCCCCGGGCGCTCCTGAGCCCTGACGATGCGGGCTGAGCCCGGGGCCGGGGCTGACCGCCGGTCCGGCGGGGCGCGTCCTGCCCGGCCACAGCTGCGGCTGCAGCTGCGGGGCTGCCCCGGCTCGGGGGCCGGGCGCCGCAGGTTGCATCCGGACAGCACTTGACCAGCTGTTTTGTGTATTTTCTAATTTCGTGCAGAACAGGGCAGCGGTCATAGAGGTAATCTGCAGATCCGTGGCTTTAAGGGATAAATTAGAGCATTGGATTTGATCCGTATTGCAGTGGATTAGAGCAACCTCTCCCCCCTCCCCTTCTCCTCCTCCCACCCCTCCTTTCCAATTCACTCCCCCCTCCTCCAGCACCACCTTTTTTCCTCTCATGCAATACCAAAACTGACCCTGCCTGGCAGAGAGACTGCTAGGCGAAGAGAGCAGTGCTCGCATCGCCAGCACACCGCGGGAGCCGCCTCTCCCCTTCCAGCCGCTGCAGCCCCTCCGGGGCACTGCTGCTGCGAGTTCCCGGGAGGTTGGCGCCGGGGCTGGGGTGTCTCCACCGGGAACCGGGGAGCGGTCGCTGCCCACGGGCTGTCCCTTTGCTTCGGCCCGGCAGGGGCCGTGGGGCGGCGGCGAGGGAGAGCGGCCCCCGGAGGGCATTTCCCGAAGGCAGCGGGGCCGGGACCCGGCAGGAAATGGAAGGATGAAGTGTGCAGCCGGAGCGGTGATGTTCCTTCTCTCCTTGCTTTCCCCCGCAGGAACGTAATCCGCAATGCTAGTTCTCAGGTTGCTCAATGTTGTCGCTCCAGCCTACTTCTTGTGCATCTCCCTAGTGACCTTCGTCCTCCAGATCTTTGTCTTCATCCCCAGCATGTTCAGAGACCCTTCCACAACCTCACTTTTCTCGCCTGCTCTGCTGCATGGGGCCCTCTTCCTCTTCCTCTCAGCTAATGCCCTGGGCAACTACGTCCTTGTGATCCAGAACTCCCCCGAGGACTTGGGCAAGGACTTAAACTTGGGCAAAGGAGCCGAAGTGGCAGACTGGCTGGATGGAAGCAGGTCCCCTGGCTCAGCCTTGCCCGGCACTCACTTCTGTAGACTGTGTGCCAGAGTCACCCAGAGGCATGACCACCACTGTTTCTTCACAGGGAACTGCATTGGGAGCAGGAACATGCGAAACTTCATCATGTTCTGCCTCTACACCTCCCTGGCTTGCCTTCACTCCCTGGTGGCAGGCATGGCTTATATTTCTGCTATACTCTCCATGTCCTTTGTGGACCCACTGGCCTTCCTCACTCTTCTGCCTCACTCCATCAGCCAGTTCTTCTCAGGTAAGGACTCTTTGCTCAAAGATGAGGAGTGTGTTCCTCCTCCAGGGCTCCTGGGATGGGGGGACCTGATCTTCCTTGGATAGCCATCTGTGTGGAGGTGTGTTATGGAAATGGGCAAGAGGGGCAATTGGCCTTCTTTGGAGGCTACAGCTAGCCTTTCCAAAATACTTTGCTTCACCTGAAATAGAAGCTGGGACTCACTTCAGGTTATATCCATAGCTGTCAGGCTCTGGAAAATGCCCCATAACCAACTTGATGGTGTTCGAATAGAGCTATCTGTTGTGCAGGACATGTGTTGTAGTTAGAGGAGATGGATTTCACTGCAAGTATGAGGGATCATTTGCCTGCCCTACAGGTAGAGGTGGGGGTCCTGTAGGCTTTTGTACCCTACAGATCTGGAGGTTCCTCATATCCCAGCAGGTATATCTTATCCAGGTCCACTCACTCCCTTCACTGTCACCCACCTCCTGCCTCCAGGCAGTGAAACTTACTGAGATTTTTTCATCCTTCCAGCACAGGAGAATTGGGATTCAGGCAATAGCAGAAACTGAGAGAGGAGTTAATGTGACATGATTAGCTACCTGTCTTGTGACCCTAGTCTGGGACACAAGTCCACAGAGAACCATGGGAAAATCTCTGTGCTGCTCTTTGCAAAAGCTCCACACCAAAAGCAAATATGTCCTTCTCCTTGCTTCCATTCCTTACCCTTCTTTCTACTTCTTCCCCTTTCCCCTCTCTCTCTGCCTTTCTGTAAATCTCCACAACACTTCTCCTTCTCTCTCCTTAGTTTGCTCTCATAACTCATCCTCTGTTCTTGCAGAGCAAGAAGCCTTGCCTATTCACCTTTCAACACACCCTCAAACTCTCCAACCTCAACCCTTTCTCTGTCCAAACCCAAGAGTTAGACAGATCCTGACCTCAGAGAAGGGATTATCCAGACAGCCTAGACTGCCACTCTACCCTGAGAGCGACTGCCTAAAATTGTTATCTCCCCCCTATGCAGCTCCTGCTTCATACACTTACATCAGCTTTTACTAGACTAAAATAGGTATCCCATATATTTTAGATTTGCAGGTTCAGCTGAGCTCAGTAAGAAGGGAGTCTGTTTTGGCTTGTGCACTGTCACCAGAAGTGTTGATTAAGATCTGAGTGTGGAGATTCCACTGCTGGGAATACAGGAGCCAGAGAGGCCCTAGCTTGCTTTTCAGATTCCAGGCTGGGTTGCCATCTGAAAACAAACAAATATCTCTCTACTTGGCAAATTTTCAGATTTGTCATGGTAATCACTGAAAGACAATAAAAATGAAATCCTGCCATGACATTTTTATGGAATCATTTTTCCAACTAGAAGAATTTTTGTAAATAATATTGCATGAGCTTTACTAGCATTAAAAACACTGGGAATGTTTTTCCCCTGTGCCTAAGCTCTGCTCAACACAGCAGTCTGGGAGGGGGAGCAGGGATAGGGGAGGAGATTATCAAGGAATTAGTTCCCTCTGACTCTGAGGGCTCATCTGTACAGAGGTGCATCCTGACATATATTTGTGGAGACACTGAAGTGCCCCAGCTCTGGTGGCAGTGACTGTGGTGCCCATACAGCATGGGGACAGTGTTTGAGTGGGACACAATGGGGCTGGGTGCAGAACTAAGAGCCAGAATGCCCTTGAGGGGTAGCAGCTTCCAGCAGCTCCCACCAAACCTCTAGTTCTGCTGAGAGCTGCTGCCTCACACAGCAAGATACAGGCATGTGGTGTCTTGATTGCTTGGGAGGAAGGGCCTACTGGGTTTGTACCAGGACATTTAACATCCATTTCAGGAAAGAAAAACACAGTCTTGAATGGTTACCTGGAAGGGCTGCACACACAGTGTTTTTCAGTTAATGTAACTATTACCTAAGGGTTGTTGTATCATCCAAACAGAGGACTATGATAGCAGGGAAAAAACTTTATATTTCTTCTCCATCATGCCCACTGTACTGCAGAAGTAGTAAAGGAAGATGAAGGGTTAATCTGCTGGTCTTATGTCAACTAAGTGTTCCCTGCTCTCATGCTGGGAAAGTTTTCAGCTGGCTCATTCTGCCCAGACTGTACTCAAGCATGGATTTCAGAATTGGACCCAAAGTCGATAACTGCAGTCTACAATACAGCTTTTCTGGCATGGATAATATATGGCAATATAACCTTGAGATCACACTGAGAAAAAAGAATCCAAGACTAAAAGAGACCATGGGGATGAGGGGCAAATGGAGAGCACTATTGTAAACACATCATATTGGACCACACAAAATAAATTATAGAAAATGCTTTATGTAGGTAGCTTGAAGAAAAAGTTAAAAAAAAATAATGTATCTGGAAAGGTCGTCTCAGAGATGCTTAATATTTTCAAGGGGAAGCAAGGGTAATTACTTCCTGAATGTTGAATTTCAGCAAGTCAAATAAATAAGGCCTAGAGGTGCTTTGCAAATGTTCTAAAGAAAAGGTGTCTTCCCATATCCCATCTCAGTATCAGCTGTAGGAAAAAACAAATGTCTGTCACACTCTGGTCCAGTAAAAGACCAACAGAGAATCCAGTATTTGGCTCTGGGCTTCTTACCTCCTAGATTAAGTTATTCTGTCAGAATTGGAATGAGGATTTGTCATTATCCTAAGGGGCTTGTTCTTCTCTTGCTGTGTTGCATACGGAGTCCACTGAGCTGAATGGGATCTAATAAGAAGGGAAAGATGACATTACATTTAGGAAGAAAACTGAATGATTCCTGCACCTTTTTTTGAGTGAAGACAGTCTCTGAAAGCTTGAGGCTGTAGTCAGTGTCCTTACAAATTATCCTCAGAGGAGCCTGCCCCAATCTCTCACTTACAGCACTACCAGGTGGAAAAGATGGGATTCACAGAGAGCAAAACTGGATGATACCACCTAATTCAGCCTTCTGCATAAGGGAAACAAGAGATGCATATCCAATGACCCTTCTTTTGAACTTAAGACCTGAAGCATCCATGTACCTCTTTTAGGCAGCACACCTCTATTGTGCATGCAATCCCTGCTCTATCACAGCTGGTCTTTCAGAGGAACAGAAGCATGTGAGAGCTTTTGTATTTCTAAACCTTATAGGAACCAGTGAAAAGATATCAGCGATTTATACCATATTGACACACATTTCATATTTCATTTCCTTTGTGTAAATATGCCTGTGTGTAAATATGGGTGTTTAATAATATACCAATATGCACAAAATACGTACATAAACATCATATGGGCACACAGAGGATGTTATATTAATGGGTTTAGCTCTGCTTACACACTGAAAGGTCACTCAGTGACATCTGCTGTTATACTAATATTTTCCAGAAGGAGTTCTAAAATCATTGTAGAGGAAAGGACCTACAGAATATTTTTATTCAAATATATTCATCATCAATATATACTAAAACCCCCCCAGGTGAATTAGGAGCTTCAGATATCCAAAGTATTTTGAATATTCTAGCAGCAGCTAATAAAAGGAATTTGGATTGTATTTTAGAAAGGTTTCTGTTTCTTTCTTGCATTCACATGAAAACTGCCTTGCTCCAAAGGTAGGAAAGTCATTATTGATTTATTTTTCTTTTTTTAGCATTTATATATATGTATATATATATATGCACATGTACTCATAGAGACGGAAAAAAAGAGAAATCTGAAATATTTCTGCCTTGTGTTAATACAAACAGTAAGGCTTCTCAGAAGGATCTACACACTGTAGGGTCCACTTATCTTTTCAAAATCCTAGAAATCTTAGATTCCCTTTGATGAGCAGGTAAATCCTTAAATAAATTAATTATTGTTCAGAATAGTGCTGAAGTCTTACAGACATGCTTTACTTCAGCTGGAACTTGGCCTTGTAATCTAGATACTCACATAAACAGCAAAAGGAGAAGTGTACAAGTGACCATTGTCATTTTAGCATTTCTGCAGCAGGTCCATAGCATCAAACACTATGAAGGAAATAATTTAATATAGTTGGAGCAACCAGCCTGTCTTGCTCCTACCTCCCCACTAGTGGCCAGAGAAAACAGTTGGTTTGTTGGTTCCTGGGGCTGTGTTACACTGCATGTGTGGTGTGTCTAAGCTCTTTCTTTTATTGTCCTCCCTCCCTCCTGGTTTTCAGGAGCTCTCCTTAGCTCTGAGATGTTTGTCATCCTTATGCTCTACCTCTGGCTTGGGATTGGACTGGCCTGCGCCGGCTTCTGCTGCCACCAGATGCTGCTGATCCTGCGTGGGCAGACACGGTACCAGGTGCGGAAGGGAATGCTGGTAAGAGCTCGGCCCTGGAGGGAGAACCTGCAAGAAGTCTTTGGCAAGAAGTGGCTGCTTGGACTTTTCATCCCTGTGCAGAATACGGAGAGTAGCTACCGTAGGCAGAAAGAGAAATAAAATCCCCGTGTGTGTGTGCATCCCACGCACACAGCACCTTCCCTGTTCTCTTCCACTGTCTCCTGGATCACTACAGAGCTGGGCTACTCTGTCTCTTGGGATTGCAGCTGTTGTGGGAGGAAAGGAGGGCTATCAAACAGAATAAATTGAGCATACTTACATGGAAATCACAAACCATGTAGATGATATACTGCAGCTTAGTAGTCACATTACTGCACCTGCATAGGTGGCAACAGTTTTTGAACTAGCAGAAAAACTTAGACCCTCCTGTGGCTTCCTGTCTGAATCCCTCAGTCCCCAGCCCCATTAGTCACCCTATACAGTCTTAACAAACTGCATCAGGAGCCTGGGCTATTGTTGAAGACTGTAAAAAATGGTGTCTTGTCTTTGGGAGGCTTTTATGGAGTGGCTCTTTGTTACTTATATACATGAGGTAACTTCACATGAGAGCATATTTCCAAAATTGTTTGGACAAGGATCTCAGGTACATGGTGTCATTCTTGGTATTGTCTTATTCAGGGCAAAGAGTTGGATTTCAATGATACTTGTGGGTCCCTTCCATCTCAAGATATGATTCTTGACTCACAATACTGACAAGCCCTTAATGACAGAACTGCAATGCAGTTAAGCTGTCCTAGGAACAGGCTATGAACATGGTTAATGCAACAGATAAACCTTTCCACAGGCTAGAAAATCAGGAGGAAAATAAAAAGAAATTGAGAATGTCTCATTTCTGTTCTTGATCTGTTCCCTGTACAATGATAGGTCAAGACTTTAGCTCTGCTACTTATTTTTAGCAATCCTCTGTCCAATGACAGAGTCCAGGCAAGGCTGCCCTTCTGACAGGGAGCAGCAAGCAGATAAATCATGGTCAGATGTAGGGACAAGGAGAGGAAACCACAAAGGTGAATGAAAATGCTGTGTTTGAGAAGCTGTGTGATGAGACAGGCTAGGCATACCTGTGAGGGATACAGAAGGAAGTGTGGCCACACAGCAAGCAGTTGGGAGGGTGCCAAGATCATTGCTGCTGTGTCAGAGCCCTGCTGCATTACCCTCTCACAGAGAACACCTGCACCATGAGGGCTGTGAAGTGTTCAAAATTCCAGAAGACAGGGAGGTTTTCCAGCCCATCAGGGCACTTCATTTTGCAATAAAACAAACAGAAGAATGCTTTCCTCAGACATCCCTGCCACACTTTAGTTACAGGCTCTCCAGGGCAATTCCCTCTCACATTGCTGCAGAAGGGTAAAATCATCCATGTTATAACTCCATTAAAGATGTTAATAGAATTACTACAGGGATTAATCAACTTCAGGTGTCTGTTGTTTTTTAGCTGCAGCAGCAGCCCATTAGATCAGTGCTGAGATCCTGTTCTTACAGACTTCTTAACAAAGGATACTGTAACATCTCTACCAGGATCATCGCACTCGATTCCCCAGCAGCTGCAATAAGAAGCCTCTGTTTTGGCAAACTGCATCAGCTTATGTGGGCTGGGTAGGAATCCATTGCTTCTCTTTAATAGGCTGGGGAGTATGCTGACAAGCCATGAAAAATGTTATTTCTTCTTCAGAAAGGCTCTTGGTGCATTCCTGATAGTGGAATGACCCTTGCTTTTATTCTTGAGTTTCTCACAAACAAGAATGGAGTCACTCATTCCTACAGGCTTTGTAACTATCTTTGACCACTTTACACTTGAATACATGTTTGAATCAATAACAAACAAAGTCTATTGTAATGAGCAGAGTAACCTTGAAAATATACTGGAGACACCCTTAGCTGGATAACTAAAACATGGAGGGATATACATCCTTCCACACTATGTGTGTTCGCATGAACACACAATTATTTCTGTGGGTAATATGATGTATTTTCTCTAATAGTGAATAATAAAAGGTATTCTGATTTTTACATGAGCTGTATTGTGCTTTTTGACAGTTAGCTGTCATTAGCTGTCTCTATACATTTGTTACAGCGTACACACGGATGTGTCAAAGGAAGAAATTAGGATTTGTTTATTGGCTTTGCCAATAATTCATCATGTGATTTTTGACAAGTTCTTTCATCCTTCCTACTTTAATGTAATGACCAATCTAAAAATGCATTTAATAACCAATTTGCAGACCCATTCTAATTTCAATTTATTAATTACACTACCAAATTCATACCTTGTCAATTCAAAGCTAAGGGGAAACTAAGCTATTATCATCACCCACAAACAGCATCTTGACATAAGTTTTTCCTTCCTGGCAAATGGTGTCAAGGTGAGCAGACAGTCACCTAGACACTGGAACCAGAGCCAGAGTCTCATGCCATACACTTTGTATTGGATTATTCTTGTTCCGCAGACTTGCTGATCCAACTTCTCCACTTTTGTACACTTAAAGACAATAGGCTTTCAACATGAAGCCACCTCCCACCAGCAGAAATTATGGTTTGACATCTTTGCCCTCTGTTTTTGGCTTTTGAGGGACGCTGCAGTCTTGGGCAGCTTATGGCACTTGGCATCTGCTGCCACAGTGCCTTGGGCTGTAAAACTCCTTAGGGCTGCACACTGAGAAGGGCAAAACAACTCAGAGTTTCAGTGGGCCACTCTGCAAGGACAGAATCCATCCAGTACAACATTAGTTGCCTATGAATCCTGCTGCCTCTTCACATCAGGGCTGGATCATACCCAGCCCATGTCAGGGTTACAGCTGTGTGCCCTTATCGCAACATTTCAGTATTTGCAGAAGCACAGATAGATCCCAGTTTGAGTCAATTTGAGTCACTGCAGCACAACTATTCTTTCTGTCAGACACCTCTGTTACTGGCTGGAAATTGCTGCATCACCATTTTATGCAGCTAAATGGTTCATTTGCAGCAAACTACTGGATTTCAGCAGTCGTGGTGGGACTTTCAGATGGACACAGCCTTTACAGTTAAGATCCTCTGGGATGGAAAGAGCTGTAAAAATGTAACATTAGACTGACCCTGTATATTGGCTTATTTCTCTGCTCATTCTGAAGTGTGCAAACTGCCCTGTTTGGGGTAGTGGCTGTGCAGAAGCAGTTAAGAGTATTTTTTTAAATTAGTCAGTTGCCCTGACATCCCTTCTTTGTCACACCTTTCTATACTTACAGAAATCCTTGGCAAGAAAATGTAACAGGGCTCAACAACTGTGAATAGAACCTTTGCTCTTAGCTGTGATTTAGTAAATGAAGGCTGAGCTCAATGGCAATGTTGCAAATTCTAAATCTGTTCAATGGCTCTAAAGTTTTCTAAGGATAAATAATAA